TTGTTTTTTTTTTTTTTTTTCTGGGGCTGGAGAGAAGATGCCCCGTGTGGCTTGTTCAATCATCGTTTCCCAGTGAACTCTTTGTTGTTTTATTTCGGTGTTGTTTTTCTGAAGGGCTGCACCTCCCTAGGCTTACGGAGGTGGCTTTGAACCAGGCTGATCAAACTCGGAGCAGCTGTGTGAGGCAGAAACTCACCACTCAGGGGAGGAAGAAGCTGGAGCCAGGGAAAGCAGGCACTGAGATGAAGAAAACCCAAGAATATCACAGCCACAACGCCACCCTGCTGAGTGGCACTGAGGCAGAGCTGAGCCCTCACTCAGAACTGCAGTTCTCCAAGGTGGGACGCAGGCTAGCAGGGACCAGTTTGGTCAGGACCAGGTGTCGACTGCTCAGCTATCTCCAGCCCTCCTGTTCTTACGCCACCCTGTAAGCCAGGCGTCTCCACACTTTTCTGTTCCTTTCTCCAGGGCCAGAGCGGTGGCAAAGTACCTGGGTTCTGGGAACAGACGGGATGGTACTGAATGCCGTTTTTGGCTCTGCTCTTTCTAGCACATAACTTTAACTCTGATCTCTCCAAGTTGCAGCCCCACACCTGCAGAGCAGGGAGCACAAGACTGCTTGGTGCTGGTGGCTGTGGGAGCGGGGCGTCCGAAATGGAGACTAGCAGTGGATGCCGCACAGCACATTCTCTGCAACAGGTTAGGGACACTCCAGTGCTGGAGGTATTTAAAGCTTGACTTTTTGTGGTGCTTCAAGTCCAGAATGGGAGAGAGTAAGGACTAGGCTGGTCAGCCTGAATTAGTCCCACGAGTCGCAGAGGGGAGGTTTTGATTTTGTTAAACAGAGTCTGGGATTTCATGTGTCAGCGTGCTGCCTGGCAATTAAAATCGGGAGAGTTTAATCTGAAGAGAGTTCCAGCTCCGTTGTTTGCCCTTTTAATCTTGTCTGTTGCCATGGGAACAGCAAGTGATTGCAATCACCACTGTTTGTATTGTGAGCCTGCTCCCATCAATGTAGCTTTTGAAAAACAAGAAATAAAAATCTTGACTTCTGCACGCCACTCATTACTATTCAGAATGAACCAGGAAGTTCCATCAAATGATTCCTTTCCCGCACATGCTCTGAAATTCCCACTAGCCCCATTTCTGACCTGCTTTCTTTCCCCCACTTCAGCCAGGTGGCTCTACCATGTACGCAGAGCATCACCAGGCGGGATGGGTGCCTGGTGAGCTGGGGACCCAGTGCTGGTGAGGAACTGGCTCCTGAGCTTCCCTCAAGGAGTGAGGGATATGCAAGGGGTTCCTCTAGCTCCTCCAGCTCATAGTTTTTAAGTTTTGCCTTTATTTATTCATTTACTCTGTATATTTGTGAGTACGCACATCTGTGTGCTTGCCACAGCGCATGTGTGGAGGTTGGAGGATAACCTCGGGTCTTAGTCTTTGCTTTCTATCTTATTTGAGGCAGAGTCTCTCTTTTGCTGTTCCCTGCTGTGGGTTTTGGGCTAGCTGGTCCTTCAGCTTCTGGGGTTTCTCCTGTCTCCGCTCCCATCTCATTGTAGGAGTGCTGGCATTACAGATGTGACCTACCACTCCCAGATTTTATGTGGACTCTGGGGATTCAAACCCGCGTCTTCACACTTTCGTAGCAAGCAGTTACACCTGACGAGCCAACTCCCCAGTTCCTCATGGAAGTTGTTTTAGTTGCTTATCATCTCAACTTCGATCTCTTCCTGAAGGTGTGGAAGGGAGATGCTGTCCAGACCCAGTGCCCTTGTGAAATGATGGGTTGGGACCAGCAGTCCCTAGTGTGTAGGTCTGAGAAGTGTGTGTGTGTGTGTGTGTGTGTGTGTGTGTGTGTGTGTGTGTATGTGTGTGTGTGTGTGGGGGGGCTACTGGCCACCTGCAAAGTTATAGCAGTGGCCTGCCCATCTTCTGGCTCCTGCTGGCCTTGAGATCCAGAGGCTCCGTGGCCTAGAGGGAGATCACCTCAGCCTCCTTTCAGTGAACCCCAAATACCTCTGCCTTCTCTTTCAGCTTACAGGATGGTTTATGGTGAGAATGTGAAAATGTTGGCCTAATGCCCAGACCTAATTGATTAAAGCATTTTTCTTTGAGTAGAGAGAGACTCCAGTGAGCATTGATCCCACTCCGGTGTGTAACAGCTGAGAATAAACTGTGGGGTGAGGAAGGGACTTGCCAGAGGTCAGGGGATGAGAGAACGTCTCCCGGCCTCGGCAGCTTGTTTTGTGTAAATCCGACCTCATTGCAAGACATGCCTCGGGCTGCTTCATTTCATAAACCTTGAAAAATTGAAGCTACTTTTTATTTGAAATACATACACAGCGGCTCATATCATGTTTCTTTAGAGAAGGTACAAGCCGGTCCAATGTGCATTAAATTCTAGAAAAGCATACTGAATGGCTGCAATGTTCTTAAGTTAAGAACCACAGGCTGGGAGAAAGTTGAACTCTTGTTGGTTTCTAAATTAGCTCTGATCTCTAGGTCTGGTTTCAGCAGCTTCTAGTTGTGTGATCTTGAGGGGTCACTTCATTTCTCAGGCCTTCAGTCTTGTTCTGTAATAGGAAGAGAGTGGGTGCCTTGGTTTGAATGTGAAGGGTCCTCACAGGCTCATGTGTGTGGGCACTAATTCCCCTGATGGTGGCACTGTTGCAGGAGGTTGTGGAATCTTTGGGATGTGGGTACTACTTAGTGGAAGTAGACCTCTAGGAGTGGGTCTTTGGAGATTACATTCACCTCTGGTACACCTCTGCATTCTCTGCTTCCTGGTTTGTACGATGTGAAGAGTCTCTGTCTCCAGCTTAGTTAGGATGTCTACTCTGTAACAACAACAACAACAATAATAGTAATAAGAATAATAAACATGGTCAAAAGTAACTTGGGGAGGAAAGGGTTTATTTCATCCCCTCAGCTTATAGTCCATCATCCAGTAAAGTCAAGGCAAGAACTCAAGAAAGGAACCTGGAGGTAGAAACTGAGGCAGAGGCCATGGAGGAACACTGTTTACCAACTTGACCAGCCTACTTTCTTATGGCATCCATGACCACCACCCAGGGGTGGCAACTGTCAGTGAGCTGGACCCTCCCACATCAATCATCAATCAAGAAAATGCACCATGGGCTTGTCCACAGGCCAACTTAGTGGGGGTGTTTTCTCAAGTGGAGTTCCTTCTTCACAGGTGTCTCTAACTTGCGTCAAGCTGACACAGAACCAGCCCGGGTAGTCCTACACTCCCACTGCCGCTCATTTCACTGTGCTTTCCTCACGAGGATGAACTCGGGCTCCTTTGAAACTGTGAACCTGAAGTCGTTTCTGTCAGGCATCGTAGTTCCAGCAACATGAAAGCAATGAACACAGAAGACTTGCTTGGTTTACTTTGCATCATCCACGAGGTTTGATGAGCTCAGCCCCGAGGTTAGGACCACAGACACACCTGAAAAGAATCACGTGCAGTTACCCTGTGGCCGTTGTCACAGGTTCTTAGAATTAGGTCTCCCAACTCTCAAGGGGACTAGAATTCCCCAGGCAGATCTGGAGTCTACCTGATGGATCAAAGTTTAAGTCCTCCCTTGATGTTTGGATATTACACAGACTAAGTCAGATCCTAGCAAAACCCGGGGTGATGGCCCTTCCCAAACCCAGGGTGATGATACAAACCTGTGCATGCTCCCTCGCCTCACAGCCCTCCCTGGCAGAGTCAATAGCTTCCACTGATGGCCGAAGCTCTGCCCTCTCTGTGTTTTGTACTTTCCTCCTTCAGAGCAACCTGGCTTTTTGTTTATTTGATTTTTCTTTTTTCTTTTCTTTTCCTTCCTCCCTTCTTCCCCTCCCCCACCTCCCCCTTCTTCTTCTTCCTCCCTACTCTCACTCACTCTCCCCCTCCTCCTTCTCCTTCTTCTTCTTCAACTAAGTCTTACTATGTATCTACAACCAACCCAGAACTCACTATGTACACCAGGCTGACCTTGAACTCATAGAGGCCCTCCTGTGTCTGTCTCTGGCATGCTGGGATTAAAGGTGTAAGGTGTGCACTACCACACTCAGCTTGCTTTTTTTTTTTTTTTTTTTAAATAGGGTATTACCCTGCTGCCCAGGCTAGTCTCTAATTCCTGTGTACCAGATCACCCTCCTGAAGGCTGGGCCCACAAGAGAGGACCACTGTGTTACCCAAACAGCACTCTGGTAAATAAAGTATCGCTAGGACACAGCCACTGTCACTCCCCTCTGCCTTATCTGTAACTGAATTTGCGGAACAATAGGGGAGTAGAATCATTGCAACAGAGGCTGTGTGATGCCACACAGCACGACCTGGAAAGGTCTGGCCGCTTACAGGAAAAGCCTGGCCCGAGTGTCCTCCCTTGCTAAATGGGAGCCACCTTAGCTTGCTGTTGTGCTGGCCACACACAGCAGGGACTGCACACAGGACACCCAGGACTAGAGCGGGGATCTAAGAAGCCCCTGTCTTGTATCTTGGTGGGGTTGACTCTGGGGTGTCATCTATGCTGCAGAGCTTAGCTGGTCCAGGGCCAGGCTGAGGCTGGAGCTACTGCTACTCATCCGCTAAGCCTTTCCCCTGTCCTCTCCTGCTTCTCTGTTTTTCTGATCCTCTGAGCATCTGGTGGCAAAACCCAGGCACCAGAACTTTTCTCCTGGGCTATGTTTCTAAGGATCTTGCATTCTCTTTTAGTAGTTCTGGAGGGTCAAACTTAGGGTGTCCCACATGCCAGCTAAGTACTCTATCATAAGCCACACCCCTCCAGGCTAGCTAAATACTCTATCATAAGCCACACCCCTATGTACTAGCGAAGTGCTCAGTCATCAAGTCACATCCTCATCCCATTAGAAACTTTTCCACAATCTCTTGAGTGGAAGCCCAATTTTCAAACAGATAGAACCAAGTGTGTGTGTGTGTGTGTGTGTATGTGTGTGTGGTCCAGGTACTCTTGTCTACCTTCTCCCTTTGTCAGCCCCATCTCAATGCCCCAAGATTCTAAGGATTCCATAGAACATTGGCAAATCAATGCCTGGATAGATGCATAGCAGATTTGACACTGGACACTGTTATAACCACCAGTGTCTCAGTGTTGGCTCTTCTGGGAGAGTGTAAAGAGTATTTGTGTTTTCAGCAACTGCATGTGAGGACTTCTGCACGAGATTCTGGAAAGCCTGAGCTGCTGCTGCTGCTGCTGCTGCTGTGTGTGTGTGAGCGTGTTAGTCAGCCACACATGCTCATGGTGGGGTGCATGTGTGCCTCACATCTTCCTGAGGTGGATAGGCACATGGCAAGATGGGCTGAGGTACAGGAGACACTTCCGCAGCTGGAGGTAGGAAATGAAGGCCCTGCTGGTGTGATTTGAGGACTGCCCCTCATTCTGACAATTCAGGTAACCTTGGGTGGGGTGGAATGGGATGCTCTGAGAGTTCTAGAAGGAAGATATCTTAAAGCTGCCCTCCCTGCTGGGGTAGGGACTCCTGGCTCCAGCTCTTTCTTTCCAAGGCAGCTGAGCCCCCTCCTCTCCGTTAATCTCAGAATTATGTGTGTCTAGAAGACAACCAGGGAGACAGTTTGTTGTTAAAATGACCAAGTTCACTTTGGGCACATTGAAGAGAGAGAGAGAGAGAGAGAGAGAAAAAAGCTATTTCCTAGTGTCTAAATCTCATTAAAAAAGCAATTTTGCAATCAATTACAATGCAATTTAGCCACTAACTGTTTAATTATATATTTAAAAAAAGCAGAAACAGAAGATGCAACCAGAGTGAGTTTGTTCTTCCTGTCCCCATGCTATGAGCCAGACTGAGAGAAACTGTCTCTGGATGAAGTTTGGGCTGCAGAAAGAGTGGTTGGTTTTCCAAGTCAGTATGTTATACTAGCCCGAGGAGGTACCTGCTCTCTGAGCACGCTGCAGCTAGAGACATTCATTTTTTTCCTACAAGAGCTTGGACCTTTCTTATTCTGTCATGCACTATAAAAATTGTATAATTCTGTGTGGCTTTTATTAAAGGAACATTATTTCTATAAATTATTTTTTAATGCTGTGGAAGAATTTGCCTTCTGGAACCATCTTGGTGAAAATAATCTGCAGGTGAAATAGAGACTCCAGCCCACAGAGTGCTGGAGATAACAAGGTCTGGAAGAGAGAAGTGGAGAAGAAGTCTAGGCATGGTGGTGCACACATTTCATCCCAGTGCTCCAGAGGCAGAGGCAGGAGGATCTCTGTGAGTTTGAGGCCAGCCTGGGCTACATAGTGAGTTCCATGCCAGACAGGCAGGTCTACATAGTGAAACTCTTTGCAAAGAAAAAAAAAAAAAAAAAAAAGGACCGGGCTGGGCAGGTGTAATCCCCCTCAAGGGAAAGAGGACAGGCACTGGTCCCCAGGGACTTCCGTGTGTTAGTTCTTCCATTACAACTCCCTTCCTAGCAACAAGTAAGATAGCACTGACTGCACTCACGAATCCCTTTGGGTCGCCACTTCACAGGGGTGTTCTTACCCACCGGCTTTTTTCTCTGTTCTGTGGTTTACCTTCAACTGGCTTCCTGGTGTGTGCCTTTGGTCCTGAGAATCACACACTCTGGATATCTATCCAGTTATAGACGGTAACTCTTGGTCTCTGTGTGTTCATGTATGTATGTGTGTACATGTATACATGCAGACCAAAAGACAGTCTCCAATGTCATTATCCAGAAACTATCCACCTTTTTTTTCTCTTTTGGTTTTTTGAGACAGGGTTTCTCTGTGTAGCTTTGGAGCCTGTCCTGGAACTCACTCTGTAGACCAGGCTGGCCTCGAACTCACAGAGATCCTCCTGCCTCTGCCTCCCCAGTGCTGGGATTAAAGGTGTGCGCCACCACCACCCAGCTCCACTTTTTTTTTTTTTGAGATAGGGTCTTTCATTTTCCTGGAGCTCACTAAGAGACTGGGCTAGCTGGCCTGAAAGCCCAAGAGATCTTCCTGTTCCCACCTTCCTAGTGCTGGGATTATATGCCTGGCTTTTTAAATGTGGGTCCTGGGGATTAAACTCAGGGTCCTTATGCTTGTAAGGCAAGCACTTTACCGAGTCTCGTGGGGCTCTCCTCGCTTGGGTGGGATATTCCATGCAGAGGGCCCCAAGCCCTGCCTCTTTGGATATAGTCAAGGGAACTTTTTGCTTTTCTTCCATCCGTCTTGACCATAGGGAACAGAGGGAAGCCTATTGAGGGTGCCTTTTTGGGCCAGTAAGTGGCAGAACACCCGTTCTTTGTGAGAGATACACGACCAGTATCTGTTTTTAAAACTGCATTCCAGCTGCATGGGGACGGGAAGATGCAGTGATGTTATTCAGGGAAATGTTACATTTCTGCTGCATCCCAGCTACCACTGAAAGTCCACAGAGCCTTGGCCACGGCCTGTGTTCACAGAAGTCTTTCAACCAAAGAAGCTCAATATCAGGACCCAAGAAGCCTAATGTCCCAATGTGATCCAAGAGTCACACTGGCCCCAGCATGGGCTGTGATTCTGGTTGCAGGTTGTGATTCTGCTAATGACACACGTCATCCATGGACTGGGTTCTCACTGTCTTTCCAGACTGAGTTCTAGCCTTAGACTAAATGCCAGACCCAGATGGAGCTGGGGTCTTTGCATCATCTGAGCCATGAGCTAGCTGCAGCCACCCCTGCCCACACCTTCTCCTATGCATCTGCCATCATCATGTACCCATGTGAAATGGCTTCTGTACCCCAAGATGTGACTTGCATCCTGGTTCTGGGTCCATAAGCCTTGGAGCCTCTGTAAGTGGAGAGAAGATGCTGGAGGCTCCCTGCATTCTAAGTGCTAGTCTGGAAAACACGTGAAGGTGGTCTGCGGTGGAGGAGGTGCTGGCTTTGGGAGCTGTGAATAGCGACAATGGCAGAAGCTGAAGCAGTGACTGCTAGTTACATGGTGCCTACAGTGTGCTAGGCCTGGGAAGAAGTGCTTGGTTATATCACAGAATCCTCACACAGTGCTGGCAAGTCAGGATTCTTATGTTTTCCATTTCACAGAGGGTCCACTGAATGGACTAGTATCTTACTGGCCCAGACAAGTCAAACTTGGGCCTTTGTGACTTCATGCAAGGTGCTTTAAACCTCAAGCTGCCTGTAAGAATGACCACAGTGGGTGGTAACACGGTCCAATTTGTACTTTGGGAAGATGATTTGGGTGAAGGGCATCCATGCTCGGTAGAGATTGGAGGCTAGGGGCAGGTGAGGAGGCTGCTGCTGATGCATCTGTGAATTCTGGCAAGGGGAAGCCCTACAGTCAGTGACACCGACTGAACTCATTTGAGGACATGGCTACATGAAGCGGAGCCGAGACAGTGAAGACCTGCAGTTGGTTCCTTGGCCCCAGCTCCTTCCCTTCAGCCGGAGTGCACCTTCTGGGCCAGCCTTGACCACTCCGTTTCCCTTCTTGGTAATTC